GAGGAGAGAGGCGAAATAGAGCATCAATTGCAGGCTTTCTCGAGACTTGCTTTGAGATGTACTGTTGAAAGACGAGCAGATCGGCCAGACATAATCGATGTGGCAAAAGAACTCGTAAGGATTCAGAGGTCTGTTCATCCAATTTAGCCCACTCAAAGGAGCAGCAGATAAGTCGCACATTGTCAAAGATATTGTGTTGTTGGGTAAAACACTTTCTAGATTGTGTGTTAAGTTGTTATTTTGTTGGGCAAAGCACTTCAGGAAACTTAATGATTTTGTTTGCTGATGTTTTCCATTATGGAAGTGTTGTCTATAACGACGGTTTATGATAAGAATTTTATATAATAATGCATATATTTTGGAAATATACAAGAGGGTATGATTAGATAATACAACTCGTGACAATTTTATTTAGATAGAAAATTTAGAAGCAACGGTCCAAATAATGAACAAAATAAAGACAAAATTCAAGTTTAAAGAACAATATATGAGAGGTTGCGATACGAAAAGTGAGGCTTCTTGTACTATTACTCTGAAGTTGGGGATTCGAGGTCCTTAAAATTTATATTTGATGTATCATTTAAACCTTATAAGAACATATTCTGGCAGTAGAGAGGAGGTTGAAATATCTATCTTATACAGAGACTCCAGTTCAAGTCATTCAAGCATGAATCTGTGATAGAAATAATAGTAACCGACTAACTGTAACCAAAATGCCCTATGTAGTTCAATGCATTTAAACCTCCAAGGAAAAAATGTCATCCTTAATTTATTAAATTGATTGCTTGTATCTTGGAATGCTTGACTATGTCGTTTATGCTTAAGAAATGTCTAAAAATCACTCAATCAAAACACTTCCAAATATCAGTGTAAACAATTTATATCGTTATGAAATTAAAAAATTCTGAAATCCGCTTCGGCGAGCTGTTCCTAGAATCATTGTTCAAGATTGTTGGCATAAATTTATGTCCATAAGGCCAGGTAGGCGCTAACTAGGTATGGAGATAGACAAACAACAGCAAACCAAAGCACCAGTTATGGATTGGGGTCGAAATATGGCTCTCACTTTTAGTTCCAATTTGGTGGAATCAAGTGGGGATGACATAGGCAATAAGGAATATACTAGTAAAACTATATGGGAAAATAGAACTTCTGGACACTTGTGTTTATCCTTGAATGGGATCTAAACAATCCAGAAAATAAAAAGAATCAAGAGTAAAAGAAAAAGATGAAAGTAGATATGCTTAAAACGAAAGATGAATCAAAATTGACATCAAAATGAAAGTACATATGCTTTTGATGTTCTAAATTTCACGAAATGTATTGTAAATCTTGACGAGCTTCACATATAGCCATCGGCATTGAACCGTAGGCAACATCACTTAGAAAACATTATCTTGAAGTTTTATGACAACCCAAAAATCCAATCTAACTTGTTCAAAAGTGTACAATAGTCCACCAATTCAAGACACAAAAACTCAGGTACTGTTAGTGTCAATAGGAGCCAAGCCCAGATCCTCCACAAGCTTCCCCCAAGCGTTTAGCAAATTAGGAGGAAACTTCTTATTCATAGTTCGAATCATTGCTTTCACCTCGTTTGTACGTCCATTCATGGCCAGCCCTTCTACTAAATACTTCAAAGTATTAAAATCCGGAATCTTGCACAACTTCACACTCTCTTTAAACACCTTATACCCTATCACATATCGTCCTTGCTCGCACAAATGAAACACCAACGTCCTGAAAGCAGTCATATTTGGATTATAGCCTTTAGACCCCAACTCATCGTGTACCTTCTTTGCTTCAACCATCATACCATTTTTTACAATAGCACATCATCAAGTAGTTATAACTTATAGCATCAGGTTTTATCCCAGCATTACTCATTTCCTGAATTAACCTCGTAACCCCCTCTACCTCACCACCATGAATATGCATTAGCCTCACATTATACTCCTCAATGTTGAATGAAAATAATCGATCACCAAGTGTTCCGGGCTCAGTATACCGTCAATATACCAAATCAAACACCACAATCCTCAAAACC